TATATATATATATATATATATATATATATATATATGTATAAGCAAATGGTTACAGAGTTGATGGTGGTTGACTTTATCGAAGCGGTCTCCCTTGAGAGGCTAGTGCCCGGTGCTAGAGTCGCATGCTCAGTGAGTGTGTGAAAGTAGATATACATCGCTGTTTGTAGGGACGTTTGTAAAAAGTGCAGCGCCATTGGCTGCTGCCACAAACCGTTTGAACTACGTGTTTATTCACATATGTTTTGAGAATTGGAGTCTTAGATCTAATCCAGTATCTACCACTGCAAGCACATGGTAAAATTCTTGTACGTGTTCATACACAATTATAGCTTGCTTGTTTCTCAAGTAAGATTATGGTCCACCCTTGCTATCAGTGCGTCAACGGCTTGCACCAGCACACGTGGGACTAACCACCTGTACAACGGTCACAATGTCCTCAGTTGCGTCCAAATAAAACGATAATGAAGAAGCAGGCTTCGACAGAATCAATTCATTGCGATACCTTCTCGGTGTTTAGTTTCTACCGCTGTAGCACTTACTCGTTGCCTGCAGCCGTCCTTTCGCTAATCACAATGCCGACAGGTGTGTCCATATAAATGTGATCAGGGAATGAAAATGACTTGGTCTGGTCAGTGCGCAAGTGAGTACCACAGTGGCAATTACTTGTTTGATTGTGCTTTCGCCTTGTATTGTGACCTGTATTGGCATCATGCGCATCTCGAGACCGTCAGATCGAGTGACACCACTCCAGTGGCCTCAAGGCCCTCTTTTGCGATAGATGATTACGAAGAAAACTCGCTTCAACTGTATCTCTTATTATATTAGCCCGGTGCTTAGTGGTACCATAGTGGCGTTGCCCTCAGCTGGGCTTTCACCAAGTAAAGTATCTGTATTGGCATTGTGCTTGTACTCGACAGCGACTAGACATCACTACAATGGTCGCAACCCCATCAGGTGCGTCTGAACCGATGACAACCACGAATAATTGTTATTGTTAAACTACGGGTGTCACAGTCGGTACTATAATGGCACCTACCTGTGGCTCTTGGTTGTGCTTCCGCCTGTTAAGAGTGACATTGGTTTGTATTCTACGTGCACATGATTTCAAATCAATACCTCTGTGCTCAGAAAGTTGATGCGAACGGCCGGTGAAGATATATATACAGCGCTGGTTAATAACTTTGACTTACTATAGCTCCAAGCTATCCAACTCTGTACGCATTCGCTTGGCTATTCTACCTACACACATACTTCCATCAGTTCCAAGTATCCAACATGCGTGTATTCCTCAATTCACGCAGTGGCACTAATGTTCAATTTGAGTCAATATTAAAACACATGAGGGGACACGGAGAAGCGTCACATATGTACTTAAGAGCGCAGCAGTTCCAGCAGTTCTGGAATGCATTGTGAGACTCGATTCCAACACGCTCATGTCTGTGACAGACTGTGTTGTTCATATATAGTATTGCACTGTGCCTGTGCACCAATTGGTGCTGCCTTTATTACGTGCGTATCACTATCGTATGCAATGTGCGACAGTTATCCGCTGCGTTGACCCATCGTTTTTACAACATCGTTCTCAACTTTATCGCCCCTCGCAAAACACATATACACATATTTAGGTCTGTGCACAAGTCATGGGTGTCAAGATTCTGCTCCCCGCCCGTGGTCTTGAGATAGATTTCGACAACAACGTTAATTTACGACAGGGACTGCAGAATTGTGCTGATCGCCCTTGTCCCTGATCGCCACCACAGTGGAAGTTCGTGCACTTGTGGGATGTTGTTGTGGGTTATCGCTTTGTTTCGGCAAGGCATCTATATGGACTTCCACATTTCCACTGGTTCCACAAGCATTGCTGGGTTCCAAAGTCCTCTCCATCCCATTGTCACATTTCATGCATAGTCGGAACTTGTGGCGGACTATTCTGGGATATTGCTGTGTGCACTCGACAGACAGTCCGTCCTTCTCGAATTATATACACGCGTCTTTTCTCTCTCGCTCGAATCGCTAGCTAAACACCCTTGGATATCGCCGAATAAACTCTAAATACACTTTTAACATCTCGAAATCACCTACATTGGTGCTTTTCTGCTTACATCGCTGTGTCGGAGTCTCATCGCCAGAGATGCTAACTTCTTTTTCCGTTCCTACACCTGATAAACGGTCGTAAGATGCTGCAGCGCCGAAGAACTGTATGAAACACGCATACCGAAGGTCTACCAGTTGTGCTATGTTCATGAATACGACTGTGTTTTAATCGCCTCGCCACACATTGCCACAGTCCTTGAAGTTCTTGCACTTGTAGAATGTAGTCATAGGCTCGTCCGCCGACCGCGTTTGCATTTGGCGAAAAAAGGCTTCACGACAGTGACACTTTGGACAGGTAGCTGTGCGAGGGAAAGTGACCATACCAAACTGTCAGCAGGGTGTCGCTGTTACTTCGAGCATAACACACACGTTTACAAAACTTGATCTGAAAGGCTTTGTGGCGATGGTACAATTGTGCGTGAGCTTGTAAAGTTCAGCTATGAGATACACAGGTCCAGACGAAAGGCGTACGGGACGCCCAGTTATCCTGCACAAATCACGAAGTCCAGATTGACACAGTGTGTACTTATAGGCTGTCAAATACTTACTCATTGTGACCGGCGCAAACTCCCAAGCCTCCTCGCCACCCAGCACATCGTCCATTTGCTTCATGATCGTGTAGCGCTTCGCTCCATACTGTATTCGGTGGATAAGTATTGTTCAGTGAAGGGCATTGAATTCAATAATTCGTCGTTTGTGGACAAGTGTCGTCTAGTACCGAAAATCGTGGCGCCCTTCGTAGTCCAAACATTGAATTTCACTTGTCATATAGTAAGGTTTCGAAAGTACATAGTATGTCAAGTGGGTAACCAGTGACCGCTAAATCCAATTTGCAATCAACTGTATATAGAGAGAACGACAATACGCGTGATTTTGTGACATAAGTAATTGTGATATGCAATGGAAAGCTGTCGTGCGGAACGCTTCTATCATTACAGACGAACGTCTCCAAAAATACTGATACTGACTTGAGTCTACTTGCTATAAACTGGGAGTGAGTATGTAGGTACGATAGTGATATTATATAGAAGTGGTACACAAATTTACAAGCAACGAATTAGATACTTAATAATGCATGGATTACGAGCAGTCTCATAGTTCTGACGGGATTGTACGGAAGAAGTATGCACGTTTGGAAATACAGGACTTCAAGTGTGTGATGATCTCAATACGACTAATGTATATGTGCATAGACGACATACCAACACTGTAGTTGTGTATAATTATGTACATAGCGACCTTACTGGCTTCATAGTAACACAGCAGACAGAGTGCCCAGTCTCGAAATGTAAAGTCGTGTCCATTTTCTAGCCTATAACAGCTTGAGAGTGAACACAGCAGATAAATCCGATCCGGGGTTGCTACGTACTTTACCCCACACGCACACGCACAGAACCTCAATACTTTGACTATTGATAGCACATAACACATGGGTTGGATCGATATAATGCGTGATTTATATATCGCATATGGAGAGAAAATACGTGCATATTTGAGTACAACAGCGATATTTTGGACATGTAATTTTCTGCGAACGATTTAGCAGCAACAGTCTGCGTAATAACATACAATGATATATATCACCGTATTGTTCGTCTATAATGCCGTACACATTAACATACCAGATAACTTCTAAAGAGTGCAAACATACAAGTAGATCACCAACCATACAAGTGAAATTTCGTTTTGCTTAGAGGCGCGTTGGTATGAACACGCACAGATACAACGAGATCGCCGTCCATAAATTCAGACATACAACCAACTATATCGATACACATACATGCTACGCAGTTAAACATATTTCCAACCATAAAGACAACATACGATTCTTCCAATGGTGTGTTGATATGGACACGTGTTGCACACGAAACGATTGGAGCTGCCATCACCGGCTTCTACGACAACCGCATTGGAGCAGATAGGACAAAACAGAAGCATTTCCCGAGTGGTAAGGTACTTGTGAATATATCAGTACTTTCTTTTTTATAATATAGATCTATTGGAAAAACGGATACGACAGTATATAGCAATTAAACAAGGTATTTATACATATATATAAAATATATACAGTATATATATATATATATATCTATCTATCTAAAACGGGTGATGATTCATTGATTCGGGTAATAAAACAAACTGCACGTGAAATATTTTAATTTAACCCTGGAGGCAGGTGTCTAGTGGGACCAAAATGATTACAAAATAAATTTCCAGGGTTTCGTCCTCTGCTATTTAAAAATATATTGTTCATCAATACTACATCTTTGTTGTTTACATATAAAAGCTGCGAACAACCTTATCGCATATACTTGTGCAGTGAATTATTATACTACATAATGGCCATTCCAGTTGAAGAAACTACAAAAGCCGACATTGCTGAAGTCAGAGCACTTGAAAACGAGCTATCGCAAGTAAGTCAGACTTTCCTAAAAGGGTTGAGCGTGCGAAATTATGTTCAAACGCGTTTATTTAGCAACAGTGTGTTTTAAGATAGACTGTATCTTACATTTAAGATAGTATTTCGCCGTCCTAAGAAGGTTGACACATACAGATTCCAAAGAATATATATATGTATATATATATATATATATATTACGTCATACGTGCAGCTTGCGACAGATATAGGG